TGTACGGGTATTGAACCCTACAGAGTTTGCACAAGACTCAGATGGTTCAGTGGGGTTAGCTATGGGGAGATGACCTTGATGAGAGTGCTGTCAGTAGCGGGAGGGGCAAGGCCAAACCACAATGGGGTGGGGACTTAATGTGAGTTCAGCAGACACAGAGTCTCCTTTTAAGAAGTTTGGCCCCGAAGAGGGAGTAAAAAGACAGAGCAGGAGCCGAAAGGAGAAACAGACATTGAGGGGAGGCGATTACAATCTCTTTAAGGATAGGAAAGAGCAGAGCGTGGTTATTTGCTGACTAGTATCGCTTGGGGAGAGAGAGAGGTTGAAGTTAAAATAATGAGAGGAGTTAGAGGATACAGTGGTGGACAGAGCTGCCTGAAGAGACAGAAAGAAAACTATCTGGAACAGAGATGGGAGTTTAGCTTTACACAGGAGATGGGGAGCTTCCATTGTGGATGAAGATAGGAGGAATCACGCTGATTGAGCACATTTAGAAACTATACCACCTGTGAACCCCTGTGTGCGCGTGCGTGTGTGTGTGTGTGTGAGTTATCCCTCACCATTCCACACTCACCTGGGCCTTGCGTGTGTATCTGGATGAACCTAGGGGCAGTTTCACAAATCCCGCTTACCTTTTGGCTCTTCCAGATCACAGTCCTCTTAAAAAGTTGCTGCGGCTTTGTGGTGAGGGTGTTTGCAGGGCTGGGATGAGAAGGGCTGGAGACAGAAGTGAGGCTGTGATGGGCACCCGGAACACCTAGTTTCCAATCTCCTTCCTGGAAAGGGATGGCCCATGCTCTGTGATTGCTGCCCCCACCCCCCAACCTTGGTGCACGGGCAACGGAGCTGGGGGCAGAGGGGAGCTGTCACAGGAAACATGGCTGGAAGCCTGCTACCTCCAGACACAAGGATGAACAACTGCTAACAGGCAACCTGAGGGACAAGCCAGGGATGGTCCCATAAAATAATTGATGGGGCCATCCATGCAGAGAAAGGAATACTTTACCACCCATATTTTAAAACATACCAGGATGCAAATGAGATACACTTTAGACTCTAAGTCTCAAAAAACAAGGATAAGACAACTGAAAAATAGCAGCCCCCAAACCCCCAAGGCAAACCGGACAAAGGACTTGAAAAAAAAACATTTCTCCAAGAAAAAAAGATACACAAATAGCCAGTGGACACTGAAAAGATGCTCAATGTTGTTAGTCACTGAAAGTGAAAGTGAAAGTCGCTCAGTCATGTCCAGCTCTTTGCAACCCTGCGGACTATACAGTCCATGGAATTCTCCAGGCCAGAATACTGGAGTAGGTAGCCAGCCTATCCCTTCTCCAGGGGATCTTCCCAACCCAGGGATAGAACCCAGTCTCTGGCATGGCAGGTGGATTCTTTACCAGCTGAGCCACCTGGAAAGCCCAAGAATACTGGAGTGGGTAGCCTATCCCTTCTCCAGTGGATCTTCCAGACCCAGCAATCAAACCGGGGTCTCCTGCATTGCAGGCAGATTCTTTACCAACTGAGCTATCAGGGACGCCCCGTTAATCATTGGGGAAATGCACAAATCCACAGTGAGATACCATTGCAGAATCAAAAGGATGGCTACTACAAATTTAAAACAAAATCAGAAAATCACGTGTTGGTGAGGATGTGGGAAAATTGGAATCCTGTGCATTATATTGCTTCAGGAAATGTAAACCAGTACAGCTGCTGCCAGGAACAGGATGGCAGTCCCTCAAAACATTTAATAAAGACTTGTCATAAGATCTAGCTATTCCACTTCTAAAGAACTGCTAGAAGTTCCAAAACTGCTTTCACTTATCTTTTAAGTGGCTGTTTTCTCTTTCATACTCACCCACATTTTCCCCACTATCACACCCCACACCGGCCCCATTACCCTCCAAATCCTGAATGTGCAGCCCTTTGGGTCTCTATCCCAGTTTATCCTCAACCTCCCTCCACTTCCCTTCATTTGATCCTAGATAATGGATGGAAGTTTGGAAGTTTTCAGTATCCAACGAAACTGAAAGCAGGAACTTGTAAAGGTAATTATACACCAATGTTCATATGACAACAGCCAAAGGCGGAACAACCCAACTGTCCATCAGCAGAGGGATGGATAAACACAAAGTGATCTAAACATACAATGAGATGTTGTTATATTTGACCTTTCAAAGGAATGAAATTCTGACTCACACTGTAGCATGGATAAATCTTGAAAACGTTATACTACATCAAACAAGCCAGGCACAATGGGACTAATAGTGGATAATTCCACTTATACGAGGTAACTAGAAAACTTAAATTCATAGATGGAAAGTAGGATATTGGTTATCAGGGACCATGGGGAAGGAATGATAGGGAATTCATGTTTAACAGGTACACAATTTTCAGTTTAAAAAAATTCCCTGAATGAATAGTGGTGACGGTTGCCCAACAATGTGAATGTACTTAATACCACTGAAAGGTACAGCTGAAAAATGCTTAAAATGGTAAATTTTATGTTCTGCATATCATAACACATTTTTTTAAAAATAAAGGAAGGATGAATAACCCTTCTTGCAGTTTTCTAGTGTGGGTTTGGCTGTGAGGTGGGGAGAGGGTCCTACGAGGTGCAGGAAGAGTTGAGGCTACAACCTCAGGGCCATGCCCGGCTGGTGCTACGTGAAGCCCTGGGAGACGCCACAGCTCAGTCTAGCACCTCACTGGGCAGAAAAGGAGATGATGACCCAGCCTTTGACCTAGCATCCCTACCTGGTGTCTTTAGTTTCCAAGCCTAACTCTGCTTAAACAGATACCCTCTTTTCCCAAGAGGTGGGACTTCCAATAAGCCAGAAGACACTCATTCCTGGGAATGCTGAGGTGATGGGTGAGGTATGGATGGCCTAGGAGAATTCTTCTGTCCACCCCTCACAGGGTTAACAGGCAGGAAGGGCGGATGCTTCACAAGCAGTGTCTCTTTCTCTGCCTTCACCCAGGCCCACCTGGAGTCAGGATGAGAGTAACAAGGGTCCTGATCATAACTGATAAACCCGATCCTCTCCATCCCCCTCCCCAAGGTCCAGTCCAAGATTCACGTGTCCCAGGGTGTTGCGACGAATGATCTCCCAGCCTCGGTGACTGCCGCTGCTTCGAGACGTGGTCCGGGACAGGGAAGGGGTCGGGAGGGCCAGGGAGGCTCTGGCTAGAAGCCCGCTTTCAGACACCGAGGGCCGTTTCTCAGGGGGATGTCCTTGTCCTTCCTCCTTGTCGGAGCCCTTGAAAGCTTCCACGTAGCGACGCGCTCGCAGAGTATTCTGGTCTTGGTTGGTCTCAACTCTGAGGAGGTGAGAAGGGAGAGAAGCTCAGCTGATCTGGGGAGACACCGGACCATGAGGAGAAGCCAAAGTGAATGCAGCACAGATGGGAACCAGGAATGAGGGGAGAGCAGGAGGAAGCGGGCCGCGTTGAAGCTGGACGATCTGCTAGGATCAAACGAAAAAGTGGAGGATAAACTGGGAAAGAGACCAGAAGGGCTGCGCCTTCAGGATTTGGAAATAATGGCTGATTTTATTTTTCTGGGCTCCAAAATCAGTGCAGATGGTGATTGCAACCATGAAATTAAAAGACACTTACTCCTTGGAAGGAAAGTTATGACCAACCTAGACAGCATATTAAAAAGCAGAGACATTACTTTGCCAGCAAAGGTCCATCTAGTCAAGGCTATGGTTTTTCCAGTGGTCGTGTATGGATGTGAGAGTTGGACTGTGAAGAAAGCTGAGCACCGAAGAACTGATGCTTTAGAACTGTGGTGTTGGAGAAGACTCTTGAGAGTCCCCTGGACTGCAAGGAGATCCAACCAGTCCATCCTAAAGGAAATCAGTCCTGAGTATTCATTGGAAGGACTGATGTTGAAGCTGAAACTCCAATACTTTGGCCACCTGATGCAAAGAGTTGACTCATTTGAAAAGACCCTGATGCTGGGAAAGATTGAGGGCAGGAGGAGAGGGGGATGACAGAGGATGAGATGGATAGATGGCATCACCGACTCAGTGGACATGGATTTGGGTGAACTCTGGGAGTTGGTGATGGACAGGGAGGCCTGGCATGCTGTGGTTCATGGGGTCACAAAGAGTTGGGCACAACTGAGCGACTGAACTGAACTGAACTGAAGGCCTCTGTGTGTGTGGGGGGGTGTGATGTGGGGGGAATGTGGGTGAGTATGAAAGAGAAAGCAGCCAATTAAAAGATAAGTGTGTCATAGGATGAGGAGATGCAAGTCAGGTAATAGAGAGGAAAGCCACGTCAGGAGGAGTTGAAGGTAGGTATGAAGGAGCAAGCTTAGCTTGCAGGCTAGACTAGAAGCTCTAAGAATAATACACTAGAGGGCTTCCTCGGTGGCTCAGTGGTAAAGAATCCGCCGGCCAAAGCAGGAGACATGGGTTTGATCCCTGGTCCGGGAAGAATACCCCGTGCCACGGAACACCAAAGCCCATGTGATACAATTATTGAGCCTGTGCTCTAGAGGCCGGGGGCTGCAGTTGCTGAAGCCCACACGTGCTAGAGCTCGCGCTCTGAAACAAGAGACGCCCCCGCAGTGAGAAGCCCTTGCACTAGAGTAACCCCCCGCTTGCCGCAACGAAGCCCACCCGCAATGAAGATCCAACACAACCAGGAAAAAAATAAATAAATAAAAGTTCTAAAAAAATCTACTAGGAGTGGGGGTCGGGTGGAAACAAGACTAGACCCGTTTGAGGAGCGCATGCCCACAGCGGAGCGCGGATACGTGTTTGTGGCGGTGCACACGTCACTGCCCTTCCGACCTCGCGGCTGGCGCTACCTGTCCGCACCGCTCCCCTAAACAGGCGAACGCAGTCTCACTTCAGAGAGTGATGACTTCTCCTCCGGGTCCAATCTGGGATCCCGAGAATGCAGAGGAGGGCCATGCGTGCAGAACCGGGCACCCTGGCTCCCACGGCCTCGCACGGGTGGACACTCCACAGGTCTCCAGGGTCACTCACCGCAGGAACCAGCGGTCCCCCAGCCCGTACTCGTACCCACAGATGCCGGAGCGCGGCCACAGGGCGCGAGGCATCTTCCTCTCCAGCATCACCGTGGTGGCCACGACCTAGGAGGAGACGAGAGATGGGGGAAGAGCCCAGAAAGAGCATTGAGGCTGAGAGGACCCTGGGGCTACTGACAGAGGGAGCCCGGAGAGGGAGGAGGGCATCTGCTCAGGGATGGGCGACAGCCACCGTCCATCCCCCTGTTCGTGTGAGGCGCCATGCTACTGCCTCCCTCATCACTCGCCGCCAAAGGCGAGATTAGTTTATGAGAGTTTTGGATAAAACAGTGACCCCTGCATTACCACTCAGATTCAGGGAAAATGAGCCATCCCATCCAAACGAATATCTTTTCCTTTTTCATAGGAAATCCGTAGACGATTATTTGGATTTAAATAAAATGATTAAATAGAATCTCTGTGATCTTGGGGATGAAATGATAACTGCTGATGTTGAGGGAATCTGCAGCGAATTAAAAATACACCCATATCCTAAGAAGGAAAAGAGTGGGTTAATGACTCCAAACTTGGCAGGGAAAATTCTAGTGGCATGGTAAAGTGTCCTGTCCTTTACCCAGCCCTCATTATTATTAACTTAGATGAAACATAAGACAAGATTATCAAATATGCTTGTGACACAGAACTGGGAGGGATATGTAATAGGCACGATGACAAAGCAATATAAAAATGATCTTACCAGGTTGGAATGCTGGTCAAAACCCACTAATGTGAAATTTAAGTAAACCCAATGCAAGGTGCTACATTTATAAGACTAAAGTGTCAGTGTTAAGCACAGGAAAACCCGGTAAAGGGGCTTAGTCAAATCAATCATGAAACAAAGATGTGAGGGTTCTATTTGATCATGAGCCAACTGCATATTTGATAAGAGCCAACTGCATATTTACTGAAAGACCTGACTCCATTTTAGGTGCTATTTATAGTTTAGTGTTCAAAGCCAGAAAAGGGATGATCCCTCTTTATGCTGCTTTCCTCCAATCACATCAAGATTGTTCTAGCTTTAAAGCCCCAGGATCTAGGTCTGAACAGAGGGTCATTCAGGATGGATTGGGTCCAGGAAGCTTGATTGATGGAACAAACTAGGAATCCCTAAAATAACTTAGTTCTCTACTTCATCTTCTTATGCTCCCATCTTTCTCAGCACTCCATGATTCTCTTGGCCTGCTCTCTGCTCCTGAGTTGTGCCAAGTTCCCTCCACCCTCAGGACTTTCAATCATTCTATTTCCTTTCCCTAGATAGTGCTTTTTCTTTGTCTTGAAAGGGACACTTATTGTTTCTACTTGCACCATCATTCAGCCTCCCAATCTTCTTCTGGGAACAGAGCCCATCTGATGTTTAGAAAATCACTTATCTACTGCCAGTCTATCCGTTAGAATAGACTGGACCTCACACAGTCCTGGTTAATTCATCTATTTTCCCCAAAACTCTACCACCAGCACCAGTTCTCCAGTCCTTGGCCTTAGTCTTAAATGGAAGGATCCACCTATGACCAAACTTGTTGCAATGAAATGGGTTCAGTGGACAGAAGGAGATGCTCTTTTCAAGGCTACAGATCCACAGCATCAGGAGTCACACAGAATACAGTAAGAATGGGGCCCCTTGAGACTTTCCTGGTGGTCCAGTGGTTGTGAATCTGCTTTCCAGTGCAGGGGACTCAGGTTGGGTCCCGAATCAGGAAAGTAAGATCTCACATGCTGCAGGACAACTAAGGTCACTGCAACGACTGTGCCTTGGAGCTCTAGAACCCTTGCTCTGACAACTAAAGAGGCCCCCTTGCACCACAACTAGAGAAAGCCCCTATGCCAGAACAAAAATCCAGTGCAGCAAAAAAGAAAAAGAATAAATAAAAAGAGTGGGGCCATTAGAATGGGTGTATCTGCTCACTCCTTTGTCAGTTTAGAGCTCCTATAAGCTATCTCAGCAACACGATGCAAGAGACTGACTTAGAGGGGTCAGGACAAAAAAGAGAACCACAGAAAAACTCATGTAATGGGTGAGACGGAGATCCAGGCTCTGGCTAGACATGCCTAAAGCTAATTTAATTCCTTAAACGTTCCAGTTATGAGGATCAATACATCTTCCCACTCTTTTTTTCCCCAAGTCTATTTGAGTTTGGTTTTCTGTCCCCATAGCCAAGTGTCCTGATGGACAAAAAATCCTAACTCCCATTCCTTCCCCTTATTCTTCTTTTTAAAAAAATATTTATTTGACTGCACTAGGTTTTAATTTTGGCATGTGGGATCTAGTTCCCTGACCAGGTATCTGACCCCGGCCCTCTGTGCTGGGATCACAGAGTCTTAGTCACTGGACCACCCAGGAAGTCCCTCCTTATTCTTCATAATTGATGAATTATTACCCATGTTTAGGGGCTCATCTTAAATGTCAGTCTATCAGGAAAGCACTTTCTAACTTTTCAGTCCAAATCTTCTCTTGCCTCCTGTTCTTAGCACCTTCACTTCTCTACGACACATTTATTCTTCTAATTACATGGCTTTCTATGAAGTTTTAATGTCTGTCTTTCCAGCTGGACTGTAAGCCCCATGAGGGCACAGACTACATCATCTTGCTTATGCCCCCAGATCCCAGATATTTCCCAGCACAGAGAAAGGCTCCAAATAATTAGTGCTAATGAATGGAAAGTCCAAAGGGACAAACAATGGCTCTCTTCAAATATTTGAATGGCACGTCTAAGGGAGAATGTGTTCTGCATTATATAAGAAGGAAAAATGGGGGCCAACGGGTGGCCCAGTTTTTCTATCTTATAGAAAGAGAGGTTTCAGCTCAATACACTATGGACTTTTCTAATAACAAAAGCTTTTGAAATATGAAAAAGCTCTCTCCTCCCAACCTCTACCCAAATCCACATGATAATAAGGTCTTACTTAGCATGAAAGAAGACACTAAATTACCCTCTGACCAATAAATGAGTATACATTGGGTAGGAGTTCAACTAGAAGACCACTAAAGACAGTACCAACTCAAAGATTTTATTACCCTATGGTGATATAAAGAAAAGATAATAGAAAAACAGTTATAAAAGCAAATACAAGATAAGGTTCAAATGAAAAACTAGAATACATAAGGACAAGGAAGTTAAAAGGTGAAAGATTTATACGATCTGAAGAGAAATCAGAGTACAGAATACATAAGAAGAAGAAAATTTCTAGTTACCTCTGGAGTCAAGGATGACTCCTGAATCTACCCTTCCACTGTGGTCAACTCACGGTTCCTGGGTGTTGATCCTAACCCTATCCTACCATCCTGTCAACTTACCCTCCATCTATTCAAAAATTCCTCTATTGAGATGACCACCCCCATTGGGGTGTTCCATGACTCTCCTAAGAGTCATCGACCATGACATATTGCACTTTGATTTTTCTCTCCATCCCCTGACCCTCAGGAAGACTACCACTGATGAACTCACCTGGGCCCTCCAGAGCTCGTCCTGTTCGTGGGCCACCCGCCAGTGTGTGTCGCCCATCATGGCGACCAACAGGTTGATCATAAGCAGTGTGGCGATGATGGCGAAGGCAAAATAGACAATGCTATACATGAAGGGCAAGTCCACATCGTAGTTGGCGGGCCCGTCGATGATGGTGAGGAAGAGCTCAAAGGTGCTGAAGAGCGCCATGGGGTAGTCATAGAATTCCCCCAGAGAGGATGGGTCCTCGGTCTGGAAAATGATATAGAACGCTGCTCCGCCCAGGAAGAGGGCATGGAGATCAGGAAACAGGGAGTTATCACAATAAGCCTGGGCCTGGTCAGTATTCATTCTACCTCCCACATATATCTCCATACAATTACACACACGCACATGCATGCATGCCCGTGCATGCTTGCTCAGTTGCTCAGTCATGTCCGACTCCTTGCCACCCCATGGACTGTAGCTTGCCAGGCTCCTATGTTCATGGAATTTCCCAGGCAAGAATACTGTAGTGGGTTGCCATTTCCTACTCCAGAGGATCTTCCCCACCCAGGGATTGAACCCATGTCTCCTACATTAGCAGGTGGATTCTTTACCACCTGGGAAACCCACATACATGCACACACAGACAAATGTAGATGTGTAAATTATACATATTATATAAGTCACATTTTCCCTGTGTACTTGGCTAACCCTGAGGTATCCTATGACCAAGTTTATCACTCTGGATAATGGCAATACTCAGAATTTAGCTAACATCTATCATCTATCTATCAGTAGATATATATAGTATAGGTCACCTAACTGGTTTTTACATTTTAGAACCAAATATTTAAAAGGCCAGTTGTTACAAGAATGCATGAAATCTTCAACAACTTTAAAGAACTGAGCACATGAAAAGTCTAAAAGAAAAGAACCTAAAAAACAATCTCAGTGTTCTCTAGATAATCATCCATTACTCTGAGATTTCCTGCGTGTTCTTAGACCATTGCAAAAAAATGTGATGTGTAGCTTTACTGGATGGTATTAGGTATCCTGGAAACTTACTACAGCATCAGAACCTCTGAAAGCCTCATCCCTGTGTGGGGAATGGAAATCTAAATAAGGTGACCCCAAGAGCAGAGCTAAGGTCTATGACAAAGCATGGTTTTGCAACAATGAAGAACAGATGCTTTGGGAGATCTATAGAAAATGGCTCTGCTACATCCCCTCATTCTGCATACATACAGATGAGGGTGGGGAGGAAGGAAACATGAGGAATGCTCCAAATGGACAGACTAAGTTTTACCCTCTCAGAGTTCCCATCTTGGTGTAGTTTTTCGGTTTACTGTTTTCTGGGAACTCCCATTAAGCAAGGGAATGCCTAAGACAGGAATGGCATCTGTTGTACCAAGAGCCCAGGGTTGGGGTCCTCACATGTCACCCTGTACCCACTTGCCTTCCAGAGGTTCCGCCGCAGCCATGGAGAACTGGATGAGAGGCACCAGTGTTTGCTCTTCCTTCCTCTCTCTGCCTTCCCCAAAGAACTTTCTTCTCCTTGTCCACTTGTTCTCTCCCTCCCTCCGCCCTGTCTCATCTGCCCTGTTCTGGATGTTTCCTCTCCTCCTTTCCCTGGAACCCTTCCCCTACTCCTTGGGCCGTGACTGGGTCCCCACTGGCCATTGTGCTTCAAGCCTCTCTTCACAACCCTTCTGTTTTCCTCTCCCATTCTTCAAACCCTCCAAACCCTTTTGTTGTACCTCCTTCTCCAAATTCCTTTCTTTTCTTTAAACTTTGACTACATAAATGAAAAAAAAAAAGGGCACTTGATGTGTTATTGAATGCTTTTCATTTATTCTTCTGAAGTGTAAACATAGAAGAATTAAATACTGAACTGTTTGCATATGGCACGTTTCACAACTGGCCCGTCTTTCCTGTTTCATATCCGTCTCTCTTCGAGGCCCTTTGTCTATCTCTCCTTTAAAGATGCCGCAGGGCAGTTAGTCAACACAAACATGATTGACCCAGAACTTCAGAGCACATGAGTCCATGCTCTAGGCCAATCTGAGTGACCCAGATCCTAAGCATATGAGCATGTTTTTCGATTCACTTTCCACTAGGAGGGAAAAAAAGCAAATGCAAGTGTAAATGAAAAATAAGTGAGGGCAAGAGTGAGAGAGAAACTTCTGGAGAACTGAATCCCACGCTCTGGAGGAGGAGAGAGTGATGTTCTCACCTGAGGCGAATCCCACGATAACCACAGCCATCAGCCAGCAGAAACGCAACAGGTCTCCGAAAATCATCTACAGAGAACAGAGAGGGGAGGGAGGGAGGGGGACTGTATCTCTACTTGCCTCTCAGCAGCTACTACTGCTAGATCGGGAGCCACCAGAGTTCCACCAGATCTAGTAGGAGCCTCATTTTTTTGTTGTTGTTGCTCCTACTCCCTCCCTTGGTCTGGGAAAAGTCTGATGTCTGAAAGCAAGAGAAACTGGAGACAGCACCGACCTTCTGGATCATGATGGTGAAGGGGCCCAGCATCTGGAATCCTCGCGCAAAGTACATGACGCTGCACCAGCCCAGCACCAGGGCGAAGGACATGGGTACCACCTCCCCGTTGGTGTCGGTGAGCCGCATCACCATGGTCACCAGCACCAGGAAGGAATAGGTGATGCTGGGGGGAGAGAGGGGAGGGGGCTAATGAGAGGAGGGGCTGGGAATATTCTAGGTCCCTTCTAGCATGGTGCTGACTTGCCTGGAACCCACCGCTCAACCACCTAAACACATACACATTCACACCCACGAACCCGCTGGAGAAAAGTCCCTGGAGGCGAGGGTCCCAGAGAGGGATAGGGAGATCTGAAATGTTTCCGGCAAGGGAAGGCAGGAGGCCAGAAGGAAGAACACTCACGTGATGACATGGAATGGCCCCCCGAGGACAGTCTGTCCAAAATAGCGGGAGAAACCAACCCTGAAGATATCTGGGATCTGGAAAAAGGCCGGGGGAAGGGGGGGAGAAAATGTAGACTTCAGTTCAATAAATCACAGCAACATCTTTTTTTAATCCATTTCCCAGAATAATGGAAATAAAAGCAAAAATAAACAAGTGGGACCTGCTTAAACTCAAAAACTTTTGCACAGAAAAGGAAACAAAAAACAAAAAGACAATCCATAGATTGGGAGGAAGTATTTGCAAATGATATGACTGTTAAGGGATTAGTCTTGAAAATTTACAAATAGCTTATGACACTTAGTAGCAAAACAAACAACCCACTCAAAAAATGGGCAGAAGACCTGAATAAACATTTCTCTAAAGAGGACAATAGCCACATGAAAAGAGAGTCAACATAGCTAGCTATTAGGGAAATGCAAATCAAAACTACAATAAGATATTATCTCACACTGATCAGAATGGCTACCATCAAAAAATCCACAAAAAATAATGTAAACTGGTCCAGCCACTGTGGAGAAAAATATGGAGGTTCCTTAAAAAACCAAAAATGGAACTACCATATATGACCCTGCAATCCCACTCCTGGGTATATATTCAGAGAATAGCAGGATCTGAAGGGATTCATGTACCTCAATGTTCATTGCAGCACTGTTTACAATGGCCAAGACATGGAAGCAACCTAAATGTTTATAAACAGAGGAATGGATAAAGAAGATGTGGTGTATACACACACACACACACACACACACACACACACACACAATGGAATATTACTCAGCCATTAAAAATAATGAAATGAGGCCATTTGTGCCAACATGGATGGGCCTAGAGAGTGTCATTCTGAGTGAAATGAGTCAGATGGAGAAGGAAAACTATCATATGATGTCCTTTATATGTGGAATCGAAAAATAAATGATACAAATGAACTTACTTGCGAAGCAGAAAGAGACTCACAGACTCAGAAAACAATCTCATGGTCCCTGGGGGTGGAGGGGCGGTCGGGGACTTCAGGAAGGTCATGTATAAACACTGCTGTGTTTAGAGTAGATAACCAGTGGGACTTTACTGGACAGCACAGGGAACTCTGGTCAAGGTTATGTGCCAGCCTGGATGGGAGGGGAGTTTGGGGAAGAATGGATACATGTCTGTGTATGGCTGAGTCCCTTCACTGTTCACCTGGAACTACCCACAACATTGTTAATTGTCTATGCCACAATACAAAGTGTTTCTGGTGTTTAAAAAAAAAAAAAGATAAAAGAGTTCAGTTCAGTCTGAGGGTTCAGCTGCACCTCACCTCTAGGAATAGGATGATCGCTGACCCGAGGACCGTCACCAGCTCCCCCACCAGCCGGATTTTATCCTGCTGAGTCACGTAGGCCTCCTGTGGTGAGACATTCAGGATCAGAAGTGCTTTCTGATGGACTGAGAGGCAAATCTTTTTGAGTAAGTGGTCTAAAGCAACTCAACTCTATCCAAGATGAATAAGAGCTCCCCTTACCACCACCATTACCACATTAGCACCCACCCCCACCCCCACCCCCATTGTATTTGTCATTGCAGCTCAGTCTGTGACCAGGGCATGCATGAGTCTAAGTAAACCAAGATGCAATGTACTGGGTTAGCCAAAAATACATTCAGGTCTTCCCATACCACCTTATGGAAAATCTGAACGAACTTTCTGGCCAACCCAATACAATATATATGTTCCATATGTTAACAACTTGAGTTACCACCTAACAACTCACTTCTTATGCTGTTGAGTTGTAACTTATGATGATGTGCGTACTGAGGGGCTGAGGTCACATTTCAGTGCATCAAGTTAAGAAAGTTAAACCAACAGGAAGAGTGGCTTGGCCTGGTTTCAGCTATGCTGAAAGGCCAGCTTTTCCAATCTTGCTATGGTTCCCAGCAGGTAAAATATAAACACACCACAGAACTCGGGTTCTGGGATGGACCCAGAACCTGCTAGCTCCAGTGAGACCTTGAATCAGTCACTAAAACTCCCTGAGCTTGGGGTGTCTCATCTGTAAAATGGAGACTATAATGATTACCTCCTAGGGTTATTGTGAAGACCAAATCAGATGATGTATTTGGACGTATTATAAGCCACAGAGCACTGTAGATATATTCATGCTTTGTGCTAAGTCACTTGAGTCGTGTCTGACTCTTTGTGATCCTGTGGACTGTAGCCCACCAGGCTCCTCTGTCCATGGGATTCTCCAGGCAAGAATATTAGAGTGGGTTGCCATGTCCTCCTCCAGGGGATCTTTCCAATCCAGGGATCAAACATGTGTCTCTTATATCTCCTGTGTTGACAGGTGGGTTCTTTACCACTAGCGCCACCTGGGAAGGCCCATAGATAAATTCATTGTGGTTTTATTATGATTTGGCAATATAGAAAAGGGCTAGAGACACGCTATGTTTTTCAATTCTAAGGAAGGACTCCACCTTATCCTGGATGGTAGGTGTCAATGGTATAGCCCTAAGGTCAACACGAATAAAAACCATTCTCCTCTGTACACCTTACTTCACAGTTAAAAGCTTGCAGTGTTACCCAGATGCAGCAATCAAATTCTACAATAATGCTCCTTAGCTTTTTTGAAGTTATGAGCCCATCTGAGAATATCATGAAGACCACAGGCCCTCTTTCCGGAAAACTGTTCACATACATATAACTCCCAGATGAAATTAAACAAATAATTTCAACACATGCGAGTACCCCCTTAGACTTTTGGGAACTCTGTTCTCCAAGGTTATGTCTTTGAATTGTGTGCCCAAGACAGGACTTGAGAGTCCCTGGGGATGATCTCCGCTGAAGAGAATGGGATCCCTCATTAGGCATGAGAATCACCAGTCATCTCTGTTCTACTGATAAACGGAACCTCTGTGGGCTACTTCAGTAGTGTACTCACTGGTCCAGTGAGAGGCATAGCTTTTGAAACAGGAAGAGATGCTTTGTAGTAGGAGGTGCTCATGGCTTCCCTGGTGGCTAAATCAGTAAAGAATCTGCCTGCGGTGCAGGAGAATTGGGTTCGATTCTTGGGTCAGGAAGATTCCCTGGAGAAGGAAATGGCAACCCACTCCAGTACTCTTGCTTGGAGAATTCCAAGGACAGATCAGCCTGGAGAGCTACAGTCAATGGAGGGGTCGCAAGAATCAGATACAACTTAGCAACTAAATCACCATCTCAGGAGGTGCTCTAGGGTGTAAAGAAGGCACCCATCAAGTATCCTGTGGCCTCTAAGAGGGTGTGTCAGCTCAGAAGAAGCCAAGGATACAGTCTCTAGGGAAGCGTAGAACCAGAGTTACTAAGAGACAGTAGAAATGTTTCAGACAAATCGTGTGGGACCAGGGAAGAGCAGGAAAGGAACTGGTGACTATGTACCTTTAGTAAACAACGTTCTCTAACAATCTGTGACTAGGCTTCAGTTCTTTTGCTGTTGCTGTCCTTAAAGAACTGATGTCTTGCCAACTTTTCTGATGTTTACTTCTCTTGAGAAACTGGACAATTTTATTTTATCATATAGTGAACGATTTCCCTTTTGTTTTGCTTCCAAGGAAGCTCAGAAGTCTCTTTATTTTTTTTTAATCTCCAGCTCTAGCAACTCTTTGAATACCCTCTCCTCCATCCAAAGATTCAGATCATAGATCTTATTCTTTTTCTTTATCTTAATGTTCCTGTTGCATCTGTCTTTCACTGTAAAACAGGCCAACTCCTTTTGAGAATCAGGTAGTAGGATAAATAATAAGTTCGTTAATTGTGGGGACAAAATAACACTAGATATAGAAATAAAATAATGGCGCCTGTGCCATATATGTGTCTATACACAATTTTTAAGAAAACTCTGGACCTTGGCTGCATGAAAGTGAAAGTGAAGTCATTCAGTCGTGTCTGACTCTTTGTGACCCTATGGACTATAGCCCACCAGTCTCCTCCATCCATGGGAATTTCCAGGCAAGAATACTGGAGTGGGGTGCTATTTCCTTCTCCAGGGGGTCTTCCCAACCCAGGGGTCGAACTCTGGTCTCCCACATTGCGGGCAGACTCTTTATCATCTGAGCCACCAGGGAATCCAGGGGCTTGGTTGCATATGGCTGGAAAATTGCCAACAACTTTTTCTTTGGCTCTGCTAGGATGAGGGTACCTGTTGGCCAGGAGCTTTGTGGGGATTAGAACGCCCCTAGAGGACAGAAGGAGAATGGTATCAACTCTCTTCCTTGCATGAAAACATAAAAACTCAACTAATGAAGAATACTGGGGACAATTTTGTTTACCATATACTCCTCCTGGGTCTGCCCTTCCTGAGCACCACTTTGCTTGTTCAACAGATTCCTTTCCAAGCAGGAGTTCCCCTGCTCAAGTTCACTAGTAACAGAGGTGTCCAGAGATGCCAAGCTTTGGCCTCTCTTCCCCTTGGTTTGGGGCTTCCCTGGTGGCTCAGGGTAAAGAATCCACCTGCAATACAGGAGACCTGGGAAATGTGGGTTGGATCCCTTGGTTGGGAAGATCCCCTGGAGAAGGCAATGGCAACCCACTCAAGTATTCTTGCCTGAAAAAATCCCATGGACAGAGGAACCTGGTGGGCTACAGTCCGTGTGGTTGCAAGAGTCGGACATGATTCAGCGACTGGACACATACACACGCTTGGTGTCTGATTGCCCTGAAGTAGCTCTCTTCCACCTCTCTGTCGCCCAAAGTAGCTGTCTCCACCTCTCTGTCCCCACAGGTCCTTTCCTTTAAAGGAGGCTGCCGAGCACCACACTCTCCTGCAAGCCCCCTTCCTTGCTGCTCTCCAAGACCACCACACAGACCCTTTCATAGGTGTTTTTTTTAATAAAACTGCTCTCTCTAGAAAACAAAGACTAACATGCATGTGTGAAAGCTGCAATGAAAACAATAGCAGTTCATACAACTCAGTAGCAAAAAACCCAAACAATCCAGTTAAAAGCGGGGCAGAGCACCTGAACAGACTTTTTTCCAGAGAAGACATACAAAGGGCTGGCATTTGTATGCCAAAGGTACAGAAAAGGTACTCAGCATCGCTAATCATCAGGGGAATGCAAATCAAAGCCACAGTGAAATATCACCTCAGACCGACTAGGATAGCCATTATCAAAAAGACAAAAAATCAAAATTTTTGACAAGGATGCAGAGGAGAAGGAATCCTTGCACAATATTGTACACTATGTAAATTTGTGCAGCCACTGTATAAAACAGAAGAGAGGCCCCTAAAAAAGTTAAAATGGAGTTACTACATGATCCAGCTTCTAGGTATATATCCAAAGGAACTGCATCATAAAGCAATTATCCTCCAATTAAAAATAAATAAAAAAAATAAACAAAGAAAACGAAAACAGAAACTGGAAGAGATATCTGCACTCCTGTGTAAATTACAGCATTAGTCACAGTAGCAAAGCTCTAGGAGCCTAAGTGTCCATCAATCAATAATGGACAAAGATGTGATATACATATCACACACACACACACACACACACACACACACACACAGAGGCTTCCCAGATGGTGCGAGTGGTAAAGAACCTGCCTGCCAATGCAGGAGACATGAGAGAAGTGGGTTTGATCCTTGGTTTGGGAAGATCCCCTGGAGTAGGAAATGGCAACCCACTCCAGTATTCCTGCCTGGAGAATCCCATGGACAGAGGAGCCTGGCGGTCTACAGTCCATAGCATCGCAAAGAGTCCAACAGGACTGAAGTGACTTAGCACCCATGCATACACACACATACATATGTATACATACAGGTACACACATATATATGTGTGTGTAAACACATACACCAGAATATTGTTCACCTATGACGAAAGAGGAAATCTTGTCATTCGCAACAGTATGGATGACTTGACGGCATTAAGCTTAGCGAAATAAGCCCATCACATTAAGACAAATACTGCATGGTATCACTTACATGTGGAATAAAAAAAAGGCAAACTCCTAGAAAAAGAGAGTAAAAAAGTGGTTGCCAAGGGCTGGGGGCACAGACAAAATAAGGAGAGACTGGTAACACGATACAAAATTTCAGCTATAAGGGGAATAAGGTCTGATGGTAAAACAAGGTGACTATAGTTAATTACACTGCATTATACAACTGAAATTTGCTAGGAGAGCAGAACTTAATTATTCTCACCAAAATAAATAAATATGTGAGGTGATGAATGTTAATAGATGATAGGAATCCTTTCACAATGTATATGTACATCAAATCTCTGCAATGAACACTTTAAATACCTTACAATATCAATTGTCAATTATATCTCAGTAAAGCTGAAAAATAATGATAGTAGTGATCTTTTAAAACATTTTCCTTTTCTTTGATTGCGAGAGGAATTCTCATATTTCACACTCATGTGTAATGTTGGCTC